CACCTTTAATCCAAATATTATTTATGTATATTCAGTGTGAAAAAATACACGGTAAGAACTATGTTTTTTTTTATTTTTTTTTTTAACTATGTTTAGTTATGGTATTATATAATTACAAAATTAACGATTAGTGTGCGATATAAATCCTCATAATAATTATTGTTGAATGAAGTCTCGAGGCTATGATGACTGAATATCTACCCTTGATTTTTATTTTTTTTATTTTTTTTGCTAAAGCTACCTTTAATTTGAAACATAAAACAATAATGATTTTGAATTTTTCTAGCAATGAAAAAAGAAATAAATCTTAGAGGTTAAACAAATCATGAAAGGCATAATAGGATCCAGAATCCACCATTGTTAACCTACTTTCCTTAATTACCAGTCTATAATTACTTCTTGATTTATGTTGACAATTGATATTCCTTATGTGTTAATTTTCTCTCTCGATATAAATTAATCAAATTTTTACTTTTACATATTATTCAACTATATCTTTATGCCCGACGGTAATAGATAAAAATGCAAGATAAAACTTTAACATAAATTAAAATTTCACTAAGCATAGAAGTATCTTTACTTCTATTGGATATACTAATTTATATCGAACCTCTCAAAAATAATAGAAATCACTGATACATTTTATTTGTGAGCAAGCATCAAAAGGGAATGTGAAAACAATACAATCAACAATCGAAAGAATTCAAACTAAAAATGAGTAATTAATTAATCAAAAAGGTAAAAAGGTTTTACTTTTTATTCTAACACAAATGATTAAGCCGGACCTAATTGAATTTAAGAACAAATATCTGGATGTGAATATATCACAAGGACTGCAAAATAATGGAAGAAAAAATGAAAATAAATCTTCAATCCTTGAATCTATTCAATGGATCTTGAATGATCATCTCTTTTTCTCCTTGCTTTGGCACCAAGAAAAACCTGATCATGATAAATCTTGTATCTTATCTCCTAAAATTTTCTATTTTAAGTTCTCCGATAAAAATTATAATGATATTAATCTCTCCGTCTTATTGACCTAGGTTTGCTCTTTATATAATTTTCTATATTTGGAAAAACCACGTCCTTAAAAATTAATGAAGTTACCCTTATTTTAGGTTAAAGGATTCAAAAGTCGATTTGTCGGCCAGAACCGAGGTCCCAGGTCAATAACCAATGACCAGTAGTAACAATTTTTTCTCTAACGGCCTGATTTTGAACGTACATAACCTTTTATCCACACCTCCGAATTGTAGTCCCTTTTGCATTAAATTTCAAATTCTATTATCTTTTTAATGATATATCATTTGCCCTATGAAGATCTTTGTACCAAACTTTATGCTCTAATTCCTCGCATACTCCATAATGTAGATTCCTTATTTTGCATTTTTTTTTTTATCCTTTATGTTCAAACTTTATTCATTTTGTATTATTCATCTTCAAATTGGAGGTTTAATTAAAAAAAGTCATATAAAACATAAATTCAACTGAAATTCTTGGGAACCTAAATAAGCATGTAAAAACACTAAGCAATCGAATAATATTGCAAAAATGTAATTTTAACATTTCTTGTTTGATTAGGTTTAGCATCATTCACATTTGCATTCCACTAGAAAAGACATTCATGGATAACCTTCCTGAGCACACTGAAATTTTTACAAACTAATATCTAATAATTGTTAGCTGCCGCCTGCCAACCAGCTAAACTAATCTTATATTATTATTATTAATTTTAAAATTATATAAACTGACAAATCTGTGAAGAGGTCAGTGCATTAATCTTTCTTAATGTTATTGTATTAAGAAATTAAATTATCAATTTTGTCCAAAACCATAGAGCAAACCAATCTTAATTTTACAGAATCAACTAAGGCATACTATGCTAAGAGGAATCTATTGGTGGCAACTGGCTTGATTGTTTTAATTTCTTATCCTCAAGTGGAATTTAATTATATAACTCAATTTTTTTAGTGGAGCTTGTTCACAAAATTTTATATGTAGCCAAAGGGTAATCAACGATGGCTCAGATAAATTGATTATACTATAAGTCGAAGATTAAAATGAGGTTTTGATTGAAATCGATAAAAGAATTTAATATTATATATATAAATGGTTTTGTTCAAACATGTCTTATGATTTTATTTTCAAATGGCGTACATAAAAAACCTCAAATAAAACCAAAATTATGTTTACCTCATGAAACCAAAATTGCTGTAACATACATAAAAAATCGTTAAAGTAATGCATACAGTATTGAATAGTGCATATATATATATACACACATATATTAAATTTATTTCTTCTCTATACCATGTACAATCTATCCTATTAAACAGCCCATTAAGTGAAAATTTTAAGTTATTGTCAAGATTATTGGACATGAATTGTCCTTTATTTTTTATATGATAAAAATCTATATTGATAGCGATAAGGACAAGTTGCAATTTTTGATTCATGTCCTCTCAAATCATTAACAATACTCATGTTAAAATATAGGAAGATTGTCAGAGAAGATAGGATTAAGTCATTAAGATTAACATCAAGACAATAAAGAAATTGGATGATAACACTCTGTCATAACTATGGATAAATAAATCAAGAATATATTAAAAAATTAAATTAAAATAATAATGCATTGAAAGTTGGTTCTTGATTTCAGGAATAAGTGCTCCATGACATTTATCTCCAAAGGTATGCAGTTAAGACAGTCTCAAAGTTCCCAAAAAGAAATGCAGAAAGGAAACTTTGACCATGTACTTTCAAAAAGGTGTTTTTACATAAAAATCCACAAAGCCCTCTAATTGCATGAATCTTCAAGTACTGATGAACAGGACTCTACTCTTGAATTTCTTCTGATTCAATCAGAATCAATTATGATCAGTAGTACAAGACTTGTTCTTCTGTCTTGATTTCCTCCCCAGAATAATTGAGATTATTGCAGACGTTATTAGCGCTAATCAACTGCTTAATCTCCTCAATGCTGTTATCTAATGGATTTTCAGGAAAACACCCATTTGTTGCCTTGCTATCATCAGCATATCCATTAGCAGGAAAAGTAAGCTTCTGATTTTCATTAACCCCACTTCCAAAATAGCTTAGCAAACCAAAATCTTCATCAATCCCACTTCCATCAGAGGAACTGGAGCTAGCTTCGTTTCCAAAGATGAGAAAACTGTCGTAATTCTCTTTGAATTGATAATTTTGTGCAGGTCCTGCCCCTTGTCCTTCTTGTACTTGAAACACTGTAGGAGTACTAGAATTTGAAGAACAAGTGGTGAAACTGGTGGCATATTCCAGGAGATTTGATGGGATATTGGACATGGATTCATATCCTCCAGTAAATACCCTAGCTGGAGTAGTGGTATAATAGTTTTTGTTTGTAGAGTGATATGCTGATATCTGTAGCTGAAGTGACGAATTTTGAAGAAAGGAATTAGCTGTTGCTGGATAAATTGCACCATGATGAGGCCTTTTCAGATGAGCAAATGGAGCCAATTCCAGGAGTTTCTTCTTGAGCTTGGTGTTCCAGTAGTTTTTTATATCATTGTCAGTTCTTCCTGGTAAATGAGCTGCTATAATTGACCATCTGCACTTTGATTTTTGGATAGTGATAATAAGTTCCACAACCATAAGAAATAATAAATAAAATCTAGATGCACGTATTTGGTAAGAACTCAGTTCATTCAAATCTTGAAAGAACCAAATGGAGTGGCGAAAAAAGGATTTTTGTAACTTTGACTGTTCTAAATTAGATTTTTTGGTTGTTTAAATAGGACAGATCGATTAACACACCTAAATATTTAAGTAGAACAAATACTGATTGATAATTGAACAGTATCAGAAGAGTAGACTATGGGGAAAATGAATAAAGAGTAGTGAGATAAGAAGATGATAATACCTGCTACCAATGCTGGTAAAGAGGCTGCAAATAATTCTATCTTCATCTTCAGAGAATTCTCCATGCTTAAGGTTTGGTCTAAGATAGTTAAGCCATCTCAGTCTGCAACTTTTTCCACATCTTTTGAGCCCTAAAATGCAAAATCAACATCACTAATCAGCAATTCAAAATTAACAAAGTAGAGAGAAAACAGAAATTTGAACTGGAAGAAGCCCATGAATATATACCAGCTTTTTGTGGGAGAGCAATCAGTGAGATAAGAAGATGATAATACCTGCTACCAATGCTGGTAAAGAGGCTGCAAATAATTCTATCTTCATCTTCAGAGAATTCTCCATGCTTAAGGTTTGGTCTAAGATAGTTAAGCCATCTCAGTCTGCAACTTTTTCCACATCTTTTGAGCCCTAATAATGCAAAATCAACACCACTAATCAGCAATTCAAATTAACAAAGTAGACAGAAAACAAGAAATTTGAACTGGAAAGAAGCCCATGAACAAATACCAGCTTTTTGTGGGAGAGCAATCCAATTTCCTCCAGTTCCATGGTTCTCCATGTAGTCCTTTAGCTTTGCATCTTCTTCAGGTGACCATGGTCCCTTCTTCACGTTAGCCTTAACACAACATGGGGCTCTTCCCATCTCTCTCTCTTCTGTGTATCTAAATCCTCTTCTCTCTAGATCTCTTGAGTCTTTTCTGAAAGATTTTGAGGTTTTCTTTGCTTATACAAGTCTTGCTAAATTATTGGACAACATGCTTATGTAAATATATGTATAAAAAATATACGTTATTGTCAGAGTTTTACACCAGTTTCAATTATTTTCAGAAGAAACTCTCACTGTTAGCTTTAATTACTTGGTCTTTTCAGCCTCTCAATTTCTCATAGAATCCAAAGACTAATGGCATACAATTCAGAACTGAAAATGATTGGTCACACTTGCACATATAGTTGTTAGCTAGAGAGCCCAGTCATAGTCCCATTTTCAATATAGATGTTTAAAATAGTCCCTATAGCTAGTTAGCCCATCCACTATGAATTTTGAAGTATTGTATTAATTGATTATATTATTTAACATGATATGCATGCAGAAGTTTAAAAATTCAATATGCTAAAAAAATGGATCATTAACAATGTCCCGATAAAGCAGTACAAATTAGTGAGGCCCATGAGGCCAGGCTTTTGAAACTAAAAAAAGACTGTTTTTTAACCACACATTTTTCATCAATATACTATTCAAAAGTGTATTTTTCTCCAAAAAGAGGTTCAAACGAGAGCTAAATATTTTACTAGACAAATATTGACCTGGCCATCCGTGTGGCATCATTGCGGTTACTGTTCTCATGTTTTAAGGTCAGGTAACTGCCTTAAAAGCATGTACTCTCAACTCAAAATAGTTAGGGCCCTGCAACTTAAAATACTTAGGTCCCAGACCCCTCAGACAGGGTCACAGGGGTCTACTCCAGTCCCTCTTTGAGTAGCATAATACAAATAGTGAATTATGCACATGTTTAGATGTGCATATAATTATTGAGATTCACTATATTTTAACTTAGCTTTAAGGTTTTGACATTTTTAAACTCAAGTTCTTGGTTGAGTTCAGAACAGAGCCAACCAGAGAAATCAGAGGTTAACTTGGCAGTAAATCTAGGTACCCCAAATTAGAGATGGGAGCTCAAATCGAATTTGACTAAGTATTGCACACACTTCCTTTAGAGAAAATAAAATGAAATGGCTAGTTGATCCGGTCATATTTTGATAATGGCCTTTGACCATTAAAAAAAGTTAAAAGCTAAAAATGATTAAGTTAAATGTCAAAGCCCAAAAATACCATTTTCTTCAACCTAGTGTTTGAGTGGATAGGAAAAAAGAAACTTAGGAAAAACTCACACAATCTAACAATCGGGATCCAGTCGAAGAAGACATTCTCACAATCAACCCAACGCTGATCACCACACAACCCAGCCATTATCTTCAACAATATTAGGGTTTTTAGGATTATGAGGTTGATTTTTCATTTACTATGTTTAAAAAATTTGTGGATTTATGATTTTTATAATGTTTATTCTTTATTATTTAGATAGATTATTGAGTGTAAACCCAATTATTTTTTTTTTTTTTTTGCAATATATGAGCTTGTAATCGCTAGAAATAATGAATTCCGACGAGAAAATTGTCCAGCCGACTTTTTCTGTGAAACAATCAATTGGCCAACTGCTAAATAGTCGACTAGGCAGATTGTTTTCAACCCAGTCCGAATTTTTATTTACTTTTCTTTTTAATTCTTTTTTTTTTATGATAAAACTTAATTTTTCAACTTTAATTAAATAATATTTATACTCATTATTTAATTTTTAAAATTTCCTTTTGTTTAATTTTATTTTGTTTTTATTAATTTTATTTTGGTAATAATCTAAAAAATTCCTTATTTGTTTTCTTACTATTATAATTTTTTTTTCAATTTTAAATTCTTTAGAATATTCTTGCATTATTTTTGTCTGTAATTCCTTTTTTCCCCCTCTTTTCATTTATTAAATCATTATTTTTTTACTAACATCGATGTAAATGAATAATATTTTTCAATTTTAATTAAATAATATTTATATTCTTTATTTAATTTTTTTAATTTCCTTTTGTTTGTTTATTTGTTTTATATTTTTTAAATTTACAAATTAAGAAATTTTAATTCTTTTTTTTAAAATAAATAAAGAAGTTTAAATTGAAAATTACCAAATTAAATATTCTTTTGTAATAAGGCATTCTTTCCTAAAGTTAGCATGCCTCTCCGGTTATCCCTTTCTGTCTGCTCTCCGCCTCCTTTCGATAATCTAACTAGGTCCAAATTACAAAAATCCTTTTTTTTTTCCGAACTATAGCTTTGATAGTTTTACTAGTGTATTGGAGTTGCTTGATAATCAGTCCGCAGATATGATATGGGAGTCCTTCTTATGGCTCCTGTATCAGTTGAGAGAGGTGCAATATTCTGGACAGATCATTGATGCACTACTGTTTCGGTTGCTTAGGCCAGTTAACGATGATACCGTCCACTTCGACCTCAGGGGCAAGGTCGCTAGTTTCTCTATGTTTGAGTTTGTCCTGATGACTAAACTGAAGATTACGGGCAATGAAACAAGTTGCGACAATACTCAAAGAAGTAATAGGTTGTACGACTTTTATTTTCGAGGATAGGGGATGGTGCTTCTATTGCAGTTGATTGGCATAATCAGTGAGTGCGACCAGATCAATTTTTTTTTTTTCATTTGAAAGTTATTGACAACATCGATGTCTTCAAAAACTATTCATGGGTCGGATATGTTTTGAGGACACCATACATGTCTTTACCAGATTACATTCGAAATTCGGGAAATACTTGCATAGGTACGGTACTTATGGATTGCCGCTGACAATGCAGGTAAATATTTAACATAATCAGCATTAAAATATTTGTTATATTAAATTTATATATCCTTACTATATAAAAAAGAAGAGCGTGAAGTTACTGTAGAAATTAATAGTGACTTGTTCCATTTTGTCTCACTGTAGCATTTTTTTTAAGTGGGTAAGCAAAAATGACGTTGTTTGCCTTTGCTTGATATATATATATATATATATATATATATATATTATACAGTAAAAAAAAGGCAATCTAAATTTATTGCAACACGCAACTTTTCATACATCCCACAATTATCTTAAAATTTAAAGTCATATTTAGATATATTTAATTTTTAAATTAAATATTAATAAAAAGATTACTATAAAATTAAATATCGTTTGGAATTATTAAAAAATAAAAATACTAATAATAAGACAGAAAATATTTCTAAAATGTAAAATGTTACTTGTAGTAGCAAAATTGAAGAGAAAAGAATTAAAAATAATTTTAAATTGAATAAAAAAATTATTTATAATGTAGACAACACAAATATAAATAAATAAATAAATTTTCTCTGTGCACAAAGACAAATGTCTCCATATATATAATTTAAGTTTCAATTTAAGTTTCTTTTTAATTATTTTCTGTTCATAATAAAACTTAATTTTTCAATTTTAACTGAATAATATTTACATATTCTTTATTTAATTTTCCTAACTTTCTTTTATTATATTTTTTTGAAAATTGTCTTAAAATCTCTTTTTTCTTCATATTATAAATATTTTTTTCGATTTAAAATTCTTTTTAATTCGTTTCGTTTAAAATAAAACTATATAAAAAGAAGAATAGAAAGTTACTGTAGAAATCAACAGTGACTTGTTCCGTTTTATCTCACTGTAGCTTTTTTTTTTTTTAAGTGGGGGAGCAAAAACAACGTCGTTTGTCTTTGCTTGATATATATATTTTATTATACAGTAAAAAAAAGGCAATCCAAATTTACTGTAACACGCAACTTTTCAACTTTATTTTATTTTATTTTTATTATATTTTTTTGGAAATTGTTTCAAAATTTCATTTTTCTTCATATTATAAATATTTTTTTCGGATTTAAAATTCTTTTTAATTCTTTTTGTTTAAAACGCACTTTTTTTACTTTTAATTAATTTAATTTAATTTAAAAACCTTATAATAACTTTTTTTCTTTTTATTTTTGCCTATAATTTTTTTGTTATTTAATTTGTTAAATCATTCAATTTCTTGTCTTTATAAGTTGGATTTGATGAAGTGAAGTAGTGTTTGAAAATGGAGAAATAGTGGAGTGGAGGTGACTATGCACGAAATCTCTTTTACAAATAAGAATATCTCAAATTCCTCACTGACTCCATTGGCCTTCATTTCTTTCCGCCACTAATTTTAACAAATAGTTATATAAACTAAAATCAAATATCATATAATGTAATGTAAAATACCAAAAAAACTACTCAAAGTTAGTAAATATCTCAAATGATTCATAGTCATACGGCCCATGCCAGAAAATTCAAATACCATATATTGCAATTTCTAACTTAATAATCAAATAACACATAGATTACAACTCTCAAAAGCTAGACAAAACGCTTTCTTTTTTTCCAATTTCAAGTGTTAATTTCCAATTTTAGCCAAGATAACGTTCATTGAATATTTTGAATTTTGATTTGATTGGGTCTTTCTCTCGTATTAACATTTAAAAAAAATAAAAAATTATTAGTAGTTTTGAATCACCATGTCCGACCTTTTTTTTTTACGTCACTATTCATGTAGCTTAGAAGTGCTTGTAAAAACGAGTGATGTTGGGCTCGCGATTTTCTCAAATTCATTTCAAATCATATGAAACATTAGGAATAAGAATTAAGGATCCAAACTATGCACAATAGGGCAAAAAATTAAGGATCCAAATCACATGCAATAGGAGAAAACCTGTGATTGTCTTGCATTACTATGAATTAACTTCTCCAAATAGTTTCATCGAAAAAATTTATTGCACATTTCATTCAAGATGGGTAGAAAATTATGCCAAAGCATTGATACTTTGGTAAGGTGGTAAACCTTTGGTAGTAGTGAGGAACAATGTTATCATATAAATGTACCGTAAAAATATTTATAAATTAACATGAACATTCATAGTGGTGCTGATGCTAAAATCAAATTATTGTTCTGACTTTCGAGTTCCAATATCATGCACTCTGGTGGTTATTGTCCCATGGGTAGAGAGTTGCACCAGTATTGATAATTTTTGGATGATATAAATTCTACACATTCTACACTAATAATAACATAATAAATACAATACTCGTGTGACGCACGAGACAAAGACTAGTAATAATTATATGTGTTGCATATTTGGGCACATGAGACTGTACCCCTCTTAGTTACCAGTTTGCGAGATAAGGGGAGACACGCTACCTCAGATGCATCATTGGCGAGCATACTGAACAAACAACTGTCCATTTGGCAAACAATTATCAGC